TAATTTGTGCCCTTCAAACAGTTCCTATCATCCCTGTAATTAGTTCTAGGTGACAGGCCAAGAGCTAGCTTTTAGTCTGATCCATGTAACAGGATTAATTGGGATAGCTATTTCGTTGCTGGGTTCCCTGATGTTCCTTCCATTGTTTGTACTTCATAGCTCCTGCTCTGGATGTAGACTGGCAGAACAACACTACTTTTGCCTCCTGCAGCACTGACATGTGCATTCACGTATGCAGACTTGGCTGTGATCGCCCCGTTAAAACCTTTCAAGGACACACAGTAAGTTTAAGAAGTCAAAAATGTTAGCAATGAAGTTGCAGCAGCATGTTGCAGCAGATGATGTGTTAGCGGGGTGTGTTCTAGCACCAAAGGTGTTACATCCCATTGCTTCCTTAAAACCATATTCCTTGGGAGTGATTCACTGCCTGTGAGAAGGGATAAACTGTTCTAAACCACCATAGGAAGACAAAAACTGCAGCTTAAACAGTGAGACTTTTTATACGTGGCATGAGCCACAGACTAAGGGCACATTAATAAATACGATTTTGTTTTCCTCTGGCTAATTTCCTGTAGTAAATGAGAACTATGAATAAGAAGAGAACAATTTATCTCCAGCCATTATTCAAGATTTAGAATCAATTTAATCTAATAAGTCTTATTTAAGATGTGTTTCCCTGCTCTTTTCCTGTGGTATTTAATGACTGTCAAAAGCTAGTTTTTCTGGCTTACGTTCATGAGAAAACTGCTACCATATTCTGACCTCCAATTTAGAAATTAACTTCCAGGACTTGCTATCACCCCAGTGATGTAAAGTTGTCCATTTGAAGACCTTTATCTGGTCTATGAACTGATGTTTCATGACAGGTAGTACATTCCTAGCAAGTGTATTCCTATATTCCTAGTATATGAAATGCACCATTTTGCACATGATCCAAATTTTTATTTTGAATAAATAAATAATTGCCTTTAATTATGCCTGAAACATGTCAAATGGATGAAGCAAAATCTATATACTTTCCAGAATTGTTTTCCCTGGGAACCTGAGCCAATTTATGTTTTTGAAAAACAGTATTTCTCTTTATTAAGTGCTTTTTTTCTCCATATATATGACCCTCAAAAAGCATGGAAAACTTACTGACTACCTACTAGGTAGTCAACTAAGCTTAGTTAATTACAAAGTGCTAGAAAGGTTGATAGATAAAGCATCATAAACTATTCAGCGTTCAGTCCCAGATTTTTCATTTGCACATACACCTCCCTTTAGAGAGACCATCACTGTTGTAGAGCTGCAATACTAAGAATTATAAACTCCACAGAACTTTACATCCCACTGGTATTTTCTATCTAAAATTTGTATCTCCAAGCTCTATGGAATATTAACCAAAGAAAATATAATTTAATGTTGTATCTTCAATCTGTGTGGTTTGAAGGTTTATTTAAATCTTAGCATATGAAGAATGGGTATGAGAGACTTTGCGCTAAAACACATATCAAAAGACTGATTGTGTATATTGTTCACAAGCACAAAATGGTTACCATTTCTAAATGACGCTTAAATAGCCTGTTACAGAAGCAGCGCTACTTTTCTTCACTCATAAAGCAACCAGGACTCTAATTCGTGGTTGAACTTGTTGCATGCGCAAACCTTGAGTGCCCTCTGCTGCGTTCCCAGTACATTGCAGTTACCCGGAATATTTGCATATTAATAAAAACACTCTTTATTTCAGAACGAGGTTAATGCAATCAAATGGGACCCTTCTGGCATGCTACTAGCATCTTGCTCCGATGACATGACATTAAAGGTAATATAATTTCCATTTGTGCTGTTCAAAAAGTAAAGAGAAAAATTATAGCCATTTTTTACTCTTCTTCAGAAGTACTGTGTCACTTAAAGCTGTGCATGAACGATAGTTCATTTTGTCCCGCGGTTCTTAAAGCCAGTCTAAAAGATTGAATGCAGAGAAGCAGCCAGTGGGAAAACTGAGACATCGTATCCAAATAAGTACATGATTGATGTCACTGTAACAGAAGAGTCCTAGTTTTGATACACACGTACATACACCTGCTTGCCTGTCAAGAGAGGCATAATCCCTATTCTATATTGGTTATACTTTGAAAAGAAAATAAAAGAATTTTCTTTCTGTTCAGTCTTTTTTCTGAAAATAATTTCATTGGAGCCGTTTGATTTTATTTTTTTAAACAGCCTTGGATTAAGCAATGGAACACCACATGTATATTCAGAGCCCACCAAAAATTTGAACTGGCCATGTAACAACACTGCATAAATAGCTGATTGGCTTGCGTCATCTATGCTGTTAAAAACAAATGGAGTTCAGGAGGATAGGGAAAATTCTACTGGCATAAGAGAAAATTACTATGTTGTAAGCAGTTATTGAAACTTTCTTTTCTTTCTTTAAAATGACTGCCGTTACAACGTGGGATGAAGTTAAACTTTTCTAAATAGAGTAATTTAAGTTTCTATATTGAAACTAGAGTTACCGGCTGTGGGCAGTGCAGCAACTATTTAGTTCTTCTTATCTATTAAATAAATATTATTAAATGTTTAGCTCATTCCCCTAATGGGGTTAGTCTAATGTGTGTGCCAAACCGTTGCATTAATAAATTATGCATGTGGGTCAAGGTCTTGAACAAATGGTAAGAATAACAGAATTGAAATAATTCAGCTGAGTTCATGTTAGTAATGCTGCCATTTTCCCTTTCTTAATTATTCTGACTTAGATTTGGAGTATGAAGCAAGATACTTGTGTACATGATCTTCAGGCTCACAGCAAAGAGATTTATACTATCAAATGGAGCCCTACAGGACCAGGCACCAGCAACCCAAACTCTAACATCATGTTAGCAAGGTAAAAAATACACCTCTTTCTGTTGCTGCCAGGAAGAAGGATCTTTCTGACATATAAGCCTACTGTCATATTGCCATCAACCTTCCTCCAGACAATTCCAGTAACAAGTACCTGTAAAGTACCTGTATCCACCCATAAACCAAAGGGAAAGGAGTCATACTTGAAAAAGGAAGAAGAAAAAGAAGGAACGTCGAGTCGCATGATACTTAACTTTCCATCTGCCTTGATAAAAGGATTCTAAACTTGGCATTGCACCTTCACATCTGGCATCCGGTTTTTATGAACAAAAGTACTTCCTGAGGCAGCTGGCAGCCCAGTCAGCCAGTCAGAATGTGTTCTAACTACGGTCATGAACTCTCTTGGGTAGAGACTTGACAACTCTTATAGCCTTGTTAACTAACAGAGAAAAGCTGAGATACTCTTTAAAATTCCGCTTGAAAAATGTTCAGAATACATTGAGTTTAGGTAGTTCATTTACTTGTAGAATGCCAAATGATGGCAGTACCATGGGATGATCAAATTAGTTCATGGTTTGTGCAGTTTGGGGAGGAGTTTTACTCCTTAGACTAGGAGTAGACAGGGAAGAACTTCACTTTCTCAGAGTTGTTCTTTTATTATCATTTTTAATACCAATTATTTCCTTTGCCTTTCTCTAAGCCCACAGTTTGGGATTTAGATGGAGTGTAGCAAAACCCAGCACTGAAACAAAGTGAAAAGAACCACTGTGCTAGGGAATTACAGAATGCTAATTCATTAAATAATGCAAATCCATTAGGAATAAGATCTCTCTGGAACCATTTATCCTATTAATGACAATATATATTTGATCTTCCTGAATAATAGCAGGTAGAATCTCAAAAGGAGGGAGCTTGGACCTCTAAGGGCTAGTGATCTGATCCTATATACAGCACACCGATGTAGATTCAAAGGGTCCTTATACAAGAATTCAGTTCTGTAGGTACAGTTCTTGTCATAAAAACTGTAAAGGCTGTAGTACCTATTGGCTTTTCTGTTTGAAATGATTTTTATTGCTTAGCCAAGGAAAAACAAAACAAAACAAACAACTGTGTACTCTGAAGTTTACAGTATCAAACTACAAACTGATAAACATCCAAATTGAGACATGTTTGTGTTTGAATGCTTCTTGCAGTGCTTCGTTTGATTCCACTGTCCGGCTGTGGGACGTTGACCGAGGAGTCTGCATCCATACGTTAACAAAACATCAAGAGCCGGTCTACAGTGTAGCTTTTAGTCCTGATGGAAAATATCTAGCCAGTGGGTCCTTTGACAAATGTGTCCATATATGGAATACTCAGGTATTGTTTTGCTTCATGTGAAGCACTTCTGGTTCAAATGACACATGAATAACAAAAGCTTAAATGGAAAATATGTGTGCCTTTGTAGCACATGGCCTGCCAGCCAAGGCGAACCTGATCATATTGACTGATACAAATCACATCAATAACAGTTGAGTCACTCAGGTGGAGTGAGGTGACTGCCCGGAACATTTCTGCTCAGGCTTCTTTGTGTACTAAAACACCTGGCATACAGTAAAATAGGTGCATTTGATGTGCCATCAGCTATATGAAGCAAAGACATGGATAGATTCTTAGACGTAAGGGATACTTCTATTCAATAACAAGCTCAAGCTGAGTTCAGGTGTGAGTCTGATGCACCTGGCTTATATTTTGTGATGAGAAGGTGGTAGATACAAAGAGTGTACAGGCTGGGGACTGGGGATATTCTGGGGAAATGTAGGACATCATAATTCCACAGATTTAATTCTCTATACTGATGCTTCACAGCCAGAATTAACAATAAACTTTAGAGAAGATCACCTCAGCCTAACTCCCCAAGCCTTTACTGTTACAGAGTTGACAAAAAACAGAAATCTGACAATCCTGTAAATTGCTTTCTGGAAAAGCCTGTTTCTTTTCATTATCAGCAACCAGTTTCCTAATGTAGTCACCTTAGGGAGATGACCCTAACTGGATGATGTGATAGCTTCCTCTTGCCACCACTATCTTCTTTTAATGTAGTGCCACACAACAGGGAAGAAGAGGTGAACTTCCATATCAAATGTTTGCATACTGTTTTGCTTTGTAGAGTGGAACTCTAGTACATAGCTACCGAGGCACCGGGGGCATCTTTGAAGTCTGCTGGAATGCTAGAGGAGATAAAGTGGGAGCAAGCGCATCAGACGGATCGGTAAGGAGCTTTACACATTGTAGATGCTGGATGGAGATCACTCTTCTAGAAAAGATCAACAAAAAACACACATGCCGTGTTAAGTCCTGTGGACAGAGCTGAAGGTATAGGCAGCTCAAGACATAAATAAGTACCTCTCTGTGGTATACTAAAAATGCTCCTATTCTGAAAGGTTTGGCATACACTAGCAGGTGGTGGTCCTGTTGGAAATGAAGAATGTTTGTGGAATAGGTAAATGTTGCTGAAGATGGGAGTGACTTTTAAATACATATTTAATAAGAACATCAGTAGTGTTGTTTCTGTTATTATTTATCTCAGCTGTTAATTTTTAATGAAGCTGAAATCACAGCAGTCCACTCTCTAATAAACAGTTATCTTGGGGCTTTCAGAGTTTTATCCCACAGAAGTTTACCCTTGAATAGTACCAAAAGGAGGACTTTTTCAGCTTGATGCCTAAAGATTTCATTGCATGGTAAAGGAAAACTATTGCCATGGAGATAGATACTGATTATTCATTACTATTTTTCTTGTTAATGTTACTTGTAAAAAATTTCAGTTGAAGCATGATCAGCTTGTGGATCATAGGCTCATAAAATGGTCTAGGTTGGAAGGGACGTTAAATAGCATCTAGGTCCAATCCCCCTGCCACAGGCAGAGATACCTTCCACTAGAGCAGGTTGCTCCAAGTTCTACCCAACCTTGCCTTGAACACTGCCAGGGATGGGGCAGCCACAGCTTCTCTGGGCAATGCACAGATGTTACATATACTCTACAGCCTTTTAAAATAACTCTTCTACATGGCTGGCTGGCATAACTATTTAAAGCAGTACTTTTCATCTGTTTTTAACAAAGGGGACACCTATGATATGATTCAGTTACTTGAGCTTAGTTGTGTCATCTGAGATGGTGTCTTGCCTGGCTTCCAACAGCTGCTCCAAAGGATCGCGTGTCCACTCCCAGTCCTGTAAAGCCTGCCAGGCCTGCATCTACTTTGAATATATTTCAGAAATGGAAGTGGATGCTGTATTTTGGCAACCAAAAAGAGCCCATAGTCTTATCTGGGATATGCCGCCAAAATGTTTGCTTGTAATCCAGTGAAAGCCCAGCTAAATGTCAAATGTATGGTTTTCACTTGGGTTTTCTCCCGTGTTGTTTTGTTCCCGTACTTGTGTGCATGCAGACAGGTACCCAATACAGGCTAATTTGAGGCTGGTGAGTGTAACATACTGATCAGCTCTGTACAGTGCTGTATATGAATGGGACTTCCATGTCACCTTCAGAAATGGTTCTTAATGCTGAGTCTTTTCTCTCCAGGTTTGTGTTCTAGATCTGCGGAAGTAAAAGTGAAATGTTTTAGAAGAAATTTCAAATGGACCAGCAGTGAATGTGTGGGGAGAAGCACTCTTCAAAACTATTCTTAACAGCTCCAGAACTGTACGAACTTGAACAAAGTTAGAGTGTGCCGTGAAACCAACTCTCCCTGGCCACAGGTGTCTAGTATTTTGTCCGTAACCTTCATCGAGGAGTAAAAACGCAGTCACTTCAGAGGGGGAGGGAATAGTTTTCACCTGGAACATTGAGCCTTGGAAGCATGAAGCCACCAGCTGGGCATTGCACTGTTTGGTTTGCATCTGAGAACTTGCTCTGATGGCTGGGGAAAAAAAAAAAAAAAATGCTGTGCCAAAAAAATTAATAAAAGAAAAGGAAAAAAAAAAAAAAAAGAAAAATGCTGTGATAAACCAAAAGGGAAAAAAAAATCCTCCTCCATGCGGTGTTGTATTTTTTCCTTCCAATTTGGACACTACAGTTGCTCTCCCAAAGGACGTTCAAAGACCAGTTTGTACTGATGAAATGCTCAACTTTGTAATCACAACACTTTCTATTTTCTAGACTACTTTTTTTGTTCAGTGGTTTTTTCTATCAGCTGGAATATTACAGCCTGGAGGATCCCAGGCTTAGGATGAACCTTTTGTTTTCCTTTATTTCTCCGTTCCAACCCCAGCTTCTCCTTCCTTTTTTTCTCCTCTTTCTTCTTACCCTTTTGTTGGTTTTTTGTTCTTTTTTCCCTGTATGCCCGTAGTAGATGCAGCCAGGTGGACATGACAATGAAAATTTTTGACAGACTGCTTCTCCTCTCTTCTCTCTTCCTTTCCCTCTCTTTCTCTCCATTTAAAAGGAAAAAAAAATCCTCCATGCTTCAGATCTTAGCGTCTCAAGGGCACTTTCAGCAAATTGTGTAATAAGTGCTTTATATAAGAATGCAGTGCTGGGGAAGATTTTTACAGGAGAAAGATGACTTTTAACAGAAAGAACCCAGTGTATTTTTGGAAAAAAAATATTTTTTATGTTAAACAGTTTTAAAAGCCTAAAATGGCCACCAAATGTAGACCAGTTGTGTAATTCAAGCAAAAAGAACGACACAGTCCAAGGAACATGAAAGGTGCAGTATCCTTTTTCTCTTGTCTCTCAGAAAGTGCTCTAAGAAAAAATGCCATTTGATACAATAAATGCCAGTCATTTACCAAGAGTCCTCTTCCAGCAGCCAGCCATTTATATACAGTCTCGTTTCATTTTTGTGACTGTTTGATGATGTACACTTATTAAAAGGGATAAATAAGTCTGAGACTATAAATACAGCATTCATTTTCTTGAGTCCATGCTTTCATTTATCCTCAGTAACCAGGGGAAAATGTCTGTGTATCTTGTTTCTGTTAGAAGTAGTTCAAATTTCATACAGAACATGGGACTGGCTGCCCATGGCCTTGCTGAGCAGTGCTGTCCTCCACTACTCATCCTACTCAGCTTTTTCTATTCCAGTGAGTCAGTGGGATTTTACCACTGACTTCAAGAGACCAGTTGAACCAAGATACATTCACTGCATCTGTCACAGCTGAAAAATGGACTCTTGCCAAGCTCCTCTCCATCCATGGTCAGCACAGACCTAGAAGCAGGCTTGTGCACTGCATCTGGCAGTATGTGGTGCTGCCCTCACCCTCAGCTGATGTGTACTCTGCACTACAAGGAAACCTCTGGATCTGCGCTTTTCTCACTTTTCTGCTCACTGCCCAGACAGGTTCAGCCTTGAGGGTGTCCTCAGTGTGGTGCTCAGAAGACAACATAGGACTCTCCATTAGGTGGGGCCATGATAAAGGATATCTAAATTCTATCTCAACATATATACCACTTAAAGTTGTGGGTGAAATGAGTGGAATGGCAAGAAAGATTTCCGAAGCACCAACCTATTCAGAGATTTCCTTACTGCAAGCTGGACGTGGCAGCGATGCCTGCTGAAGACTGCATTACTCTAAGAGCTAACACTGGATGCCAAGAAGGATGCACAGGCAGAGTGTACAGAAAATGCTGTAAGCTATGAAGCAACTTTGGGGGGGTGGCAGACAAATCCTCAAAACTGGCCAAGTGAAGGAAGAGTATTCTCTATGCCCCAGACTAGGCTAGGATTTGTGGGAGAGAAAAAAACAAGAAAGCAGAGAATGGCCTTAACATCATGTAGTGCCTTCCTGCCTGGAGTCACTGTTTCCCTAACACAGGATCTTCCCTTTGATCTGGCCACAGCTGTTGGAAGTGGTGATGTGATCTGAACAACAAACGCAAAACCAGAGCCCTCGGACTGAACTGGTGGCGTAAGACCTGCCAAGAACCACGGCATCATTGTGGCATCATGGAATCTGTATGGCATTTCTTCTCCTGCGTTTTCCTTTCTTTATGCTTTTATCTATACAGTGTCTTAGTCCTTCCAGTAGAACTAGCCACTACCAGCTTTGGCTGCATTTCTTAGAGACGTATTTGGAAAGGAGACAAGAATGAAAAGAAATAACTGTTAGAAAGGTTACTCAATCCTGAGGTGAAAACAGTTATGCGGGATTTTGGTTATTAATGACAGGCTTGTTTGTAATTTATATCAAAGAACTGGACCCTGAAAGACATCAGGGATTATTTTTGCTGTTTGTATTGGTTTTAATTTTCTGCTCCAAGAACATGGTCTGTAGATAACCACATGGCAGTTTTATACTGGTTTATAACCATGTGTACCTACTGATTTAAAGTCACTACTCGGAAAAAAAGACTCCTTGTTCAAAGAGATACTTGAATTTTAATACAAAGGTTTAATGTGGTTTTATAAAGCATGGTTGGGTCAATGGTTTGGTTATAGTCATTGTGTGTACACGGTTAACTTCCTACACTGCTTTTGGTGGCATTTCTGAGAGTAACACACAGAAGCTCCTGGGCTGCAGCAGCGGGGGGCAGTGCGGATGGGCCATGGGCTTGCCTCTGTCCCTTGAGCAATGACTGAATAGGCCAGACCTCAGGATTTTAAGAGATGAGGTTGCTCAGTTCGAGTTCAATGACACCGTACTGCTGGCTGGCTGCAGGGACCATGTCTCATGGTTGTTCCTGGGATAGCTACTGCAAATAACTCGTCAGTGTCTGTGATGCCCTTTTCTTTTTCATTTTTCCATGTTTCTTTTCCTCTGCCTGCCTACATGGAAGTAAGAAGCCAAGAGAAACAAGAATTTGAAATTCAGTTGGTTTGCAAAGCCCATGTGTGAGAGGCTGCTGGTCCACAGAGTTTTCTCTGCAGACCATCAGATTAGAAAGCAGCATATGTGAGAAGCTGAGGAAGTTCACCTTTCTCCCCCTCCCCAAGACCCTAAAGACATAATCTTCAGAGATGCTGTAGTAGAGAGTTTCCATCTGAAGTGAGGGCATCTGTTGAGGAATGCTGAAGATGTAGCTGTGAAAGTTAATCCTAGCCTAAGGAGTTGGTTTCTTTAGGAGGTGGGCAATGGGAGAGAAGCTTTTCCAGGCTGTACTTCGATGTGGATATCTAAGCCTATGCCCACAGAACTGCTCTTGTGGCAGCTCTCACTTTCCTCCACTGGGCATCCCCTGGCTTCCCCATGGCCGAACCGCAGGAAGCACCAGGCTGGTGGACATCGTCTTTTTCATGCAATATTTTGGACTATTTTTTTCTAGTTCTTTGTAACAGAAGAGAAATGGAGAAACTGAAGTGACCAAACAGGATT